ATTTAAATTTATGATTTAAATTTATGATTTAAATTTATGATTTAAATTTATGATTTAAATTTATGATTTAAATTTATTATTTAAATTTACATTTAAATTTACTATTTAAATTTATTACTTAAATTTATTATTTAAATTTACTATTTAAATTTATTATTTAAATTTATTGCTTAAATTTATTATTTAAATTTATTTATATCGATTAACAGCATGTGAAAGCTAATCCAGATACACTTCTGTCTCGTTTTTATGGCCTTCACCGAGTAAAATTACCACGTGGTCCAAAAATTCATTTCGTGGTGATGAACAATATTTTCCCACCACACCGAGATATACATGAAATTTATGACTTAAAGGTCGGTTTTATCAAATTATGTTAAAAGGGTAATGATATTTCTTTTCTTAATATCTCATAATCAATAGGGTTCAACTGTTGGACGTGAAACTAAAGTTACAAACAATCACAATCCACGCACGGTACTTAAAGACCTTAATTGGATAAATAGTGAGCAACATTTGGAATTAGGTCCTGCGAAACGAACGTTTTTTGTTGAACAACTGGAAAAGGATGTCAATGTACATCGATTTTTTTTATAATATCAAATAACAACTTAATTATGAGTTTTCATATTCACCATGTTTGTATATACATTTAGTTGCTTCAAAAATTGAATATCATGGATTACAGTCTTCTAGTTGGATTGCATGATACCTCTCGTGGAAATAGGGATAATATTCGTGAAGATTTCTTTGTATTTCAAGTGAATATAAATATATTTAGTTGATATAATTATGATTATTCATTATGTTATTTTTTATTCTTACACATTGTTTAATAATCTTTCCCTGATATGTTTAATTAATATCTTCAAAAAAATCGCACAGCCTGATACTAAGAAAATCGAACGTACTCCTTCAAGTCATAAACGAGAAAGCAAAGCATCGAAATTGCGTAGAGCAGTAGGTGAAGCCGATCCGGTAAAATTAGGCCCGTCAACCACCAAGCTAGTTCTGAATAACGAGTCAGTAAATTTTAAATTTTTTATTTATTTATTTATTTTTATTTTTTTTAATGGGAAATTGAATTTTTTGTAATCCAAACCCCTCAGACGAAGAAATTGCATATTTTACGCGGATGACGGTGGATTCGCTGGTACCGATGAACACAATCGTCCCACAAATTATATTTA